AGGAGTTCAGGGAAGAAGGGGCTTTTTGTATAAAAAACGTCATTTTTCGACCCCCATTTGATCCCCCGGGGCAAAATCAAAATTCCGAAACCTTACTGCACATCTACATGACACCCCCAACCATCTCCCAAAGGATGATTAAGCTACTGTGAAAAATGTAGGAGGAGTTCAGGGAAGAAGGGGCTTTTTGTATAAAATACATCATTTTTCGACCCCCATTTGATCCCCCGGGGCAAAATCAAAATTCCGAAACCTTACTGCACATCTACATGACACCACCAACCATCTCTCAAAAGATGATTAGGCTGCTGAGTAAAATGTAGAAGGAGTTCAGGGAAGAAGGGGCTTTTTGTATAAAAAACGTCATTTTTCGACCCCCATTTGATCCCCCGGGGCAAAATCAAAATTCCGAAACCTTACTGCACATCTACATGACACCACCAACCATCTCTCAAAAGATGATTAGGCTGCTGAGTAAAATGTAGAAGGAGTTCAGGGAAGAAGGGGCTTTTTGTATAAAAAACGTCATTTTTCGACCCCCATTTGATCCCCCGGGGCAAAATCAAAATTCCGAAACCTTACTGCACATCTACATGACACCCCCAACCATCTCCCAAAGGATGATTAAGCTACTGTGAAAAATGTAGGAGGAGTTCAGGGAAGAAGGGGCTTTTTGTATAAAAAACGTCATTTTTCGACCCCCATTTGATCCCCCGGGGCAAAATCAAAATTCCGAAACCTTACTGCACATCTACATGACACCCCCAACCATCTCCCGAAGGATGATTAAGCTACTGTGAAAAATGTAGGAGGAGTTCAGGGAAGAAAAGTGTGACAGACGGACGGACGGACGGACAGACGGACGGACATGAGTAACAACAATATACCCGAACTTTCTTTCGAAAGTGCGGGTATAATAAGACAATAGTTGTTCAGTAAGCTGTAAAGCTTAAAATTGTGTTGCTGCATAAAATATAGCCACGCTCAAAACGACACTGAAACAAACATTGACATGTTGTGTGGTTTTTCAACAATACTGCAAATGAATAAGAAAAATATCAGAAACTTTTATGTTTTTTCTGAGCCATCTCTCTCCATGGTATTTGTAAAAAAAAAAAAGAATTAAGACCTCCAAGAATTTAATTAATGAATATTCTTTCCAAACATTTTCCCACTCCTTGGACTGTAAATTCTGAGTAAAGAAATGTGCAAATTTCTACGTGATGCATACATGTATAAACTAAAATATACTACATGTTCAAGGCCTAAATGTATGACAATAAATCCAACTTAAACTTAGCCAATGCATATTTTTGTATTTTTTGAACACCTAGTTTTTAGGCTCAAGTGAGCTTTTCTAATGATATTTTGTCTGTTGTAAAAATTTTCACAATTTCGACTTCTTCTCAAGTACCTCTGGGTCAATTTAAACAAACTGGTACAAAGCATCCCTGGTTGAAGGGGAGTTTGAATTGTTAAAATGAAGGGCCAAGTTCCCTACAAAGGGAGATATTCAAGAAGAGACAAAAATAGGGTGGGGTCTTGAAAAAAAAATCACGAACCACTGGGCAAGAAAGTAAAAACTGTGGAAGCATCTTGGGATTAGTGTAGATTCTAAATTGTTCAAATCATGACCCCCCGAGTTGGGCTGGGCCACACTAAGGAATCAAAGTTAAAATTACATAGAAATATATACTAGGAAAAAATACTTCAAAAATCTTCTTCTCAAGTTGAAGAACCACTGGACCAAAAAATCTGAAACCAACGTGGAAGCATCCTAAGGTAGTGCAAATTCTATATTATTTAATCATGACCCCTGGAGGTAGGGCAGGGTCACAATAAGGAAGCAAAGTAATACATAGAATGTAATATAAAAGGAAAAATTCTTTTTCTTAAGGCCGGTACACACGGTAAGGCTTGCTTTATAAATCTAAAACCTTACGTTTTGCATGACGTACGGCTCTCATGTCCACACGCTAAGGTAAGACTTACAATATTATAAACAACACTAACATAAATTCCATGTGTTTTAACTATAAACAGTGCGCATTATTAAACGGAATAATATGTAGAATGCTAGCAAAGACTTTGAAATAGTTTTACCGACCCAGTGTATCCACACTTCTTAACAAGGAAGAGGAGATTAACTGAAGTATTTGTAGATACTTTCATTATCTTACTCAAATATACTCTGTGTTTACTTCAAAATACCAACATGTATGGTTTTATAAAAATAGATTGAACTTTGGTTAAATGGTTTTCATTGGTCAAGAATTAAATGTCAGCTAAGTCTTGTATTAGGAAATAGAACAGTGTTCTATTCTAAATTCAGACTTGTAAGGCTCCAAAAAACGTGTATTTAGGGTGTACACACGGTAAGGCTAGAACTCAAGCTTCATGACTTATAAGGCAAGCCTTACCGTGTGTACAGGCCTTTAAGAACCACAGCCAGAAAAACTTGTGAAAGCATCTGGGGTAGTGTAGATTCTAAATTGTTCAATTTATGACCCCAGGGGTAAAATGGGGCCTTGATTTAGAATCCAAGTTTTACATGGAAATATATATCAAAAAACTTTAAAATTTCTCAGGAACCACTGGGTCTACAGGTGCTTGACAACAGGACCCCCCCCCCCCTTCAATATAGACCCCTGGGCTTTTTCAACTTTTTTCTTATAAATAATCTTCCATTGACATATTTGTGATAAGATCTTTACCAACATTAGCAAATCGAAAAATTACCTAAAACAAATGTTTTATCAAATCTACCCTACATTCTATACCCGGTATATAAAAATCAACTATAGAGAGTGATTAGAATTTTTTTATAAAATGTTGGTTTAAGCAAATTTTCTGAATTGATAGGATAGATTTTATCACAAATGTGTCATCCATATATATTAAATTTATGTGAAAAAATTCTAATAGGGGTCTATATTAGGGGAGGGGGATGGTCCTTTCCTCAAGCACCTGTGGCTGGGTCAGGAAAGCTGAAACTTATGTGAAAGCATCATGGGGTAGTGTACATTTTAAATTTTTTAAATATGTAAAAATTAGCACTAGTCTAGTACTTAAACACTGTTTTAAAAACCAGTAAATCATACAATGTATGAGTTGCTGGACTAGATTCATGTTGCAACATTAGTCTGGATTCAGGATGGTGTATTTTTTTAACTGTATTTTGTTTTGTTTTATAATACCAAATTAATGCAGATATGTAGTTAAAAAAATCAAAAACATAATGATATAGATTTATTTTTCTATACAGCAATATAATACACTAAAATCATTAATTTCAGCCATTTTTAAAAATAATTATTTCATGAAAGTCTAAAAACAAACAACATACTGTCATACACCAACCTGAAACCCAACACAGCTGTAACACCTATGTAGGTATTGAAAAACCAAGTAATTAATACATGCAACTGCAAAATCAACATTGCAAACAAATGAGCTCGTCATAGTTGGTCTCATCCTACACTATAAAATACATTTTATAGTGTATTTTTATTGTTATAGTTTTTAAAAGACAGACTGAACAAATGCAACTCGAGACATGGGTTAGATGGATTTCATCTATTTACTGTATTTAAATTTGTTCTCAATTCTTTGTCGTCATACACATGATACAAACGAAAGTATCTAATCCTTCTACGATTGATGCCACTAGTAAATTTTGCATAAAATTGAAGTTTTAGCGATGTTTTCTACCCATTCTTATGATGAAACGCCATACTGTTTATAGTTTCTATGCCTCCCGGTGACGGCGCTGCGAAAATCGGAAGATGATTTTCCATTCGGAACTCGAATTTTTGAAGCATCATGAAAAATCTAGAGTGCTCCGAAAGAGTCAGCGGTCCCTCTCTTATACGTCTCTGGTTTGTTGTACATTTTACTTAAATGTGCTTATTGTACACTTTACTTACATGTGTTTGTCTTACACTTTACTGACATGTGTTTGTCTTACACTTTACTTACATGTGTTTGTCATACACTTTACTTACATGTGTTTGTTGTACACTTTACTTACATGTGTTTGTTGTACTCTTTACTTACATGTGTTTGTTGTACACTGTACTTACATGTGTTTGTTGTACACTGTACTTACATGTGTTTGTTGTACACTGTACTTACATGTGTTTGTTGTTCTCTTTACTTACATGTGTTTGTTGTACTCTTTACTTACATGTGTTTGTTGTACACTGTACTTACATGTGTTTGTTGTACACTGTACTTACATGTGTTTGTTGTACACACTACACGTATTTGTTCTACACTTTACTTACATGTGTTTGTTGTATACATTTCTTACATGTGTTTGTTGTACACTTCACTTACATGTGTTTGTTGTATACATTTCTTATATGTGTTTGTTGTATACTTTACTTAAATGTGTTTGTTGTACACTTTACTTACATGTTTTTGTTGTACACTTTACTTACATGTGTTTGCCTTACACTTTACTTACATGTGTTTGTTGTACACTTTACTTACATGTGTTTGTTGTACACTTTACTTACATGTGTTTGTTGAACACTTACTTACATGTGTTTATTGTACACTTTACTTACATGTGTTTGTTGTACACTTCACTTACATGTGTTTGTTGTATACTTTACTTACATGTGTTTGTTGTTGTACACATTACATGTGTTTTACGTACCCTTAACTTACATGTGTTTGTTGTACACTTCACTTACATGTATTTGTTGTACACTTTACTTACATGTGTTTCTTGTACACTTTACTTACATGTGTTTGTTGTACACTTTACATGTGTTTGTTGTACACTTCACTTACATGTATTTGTTGTACACTTTACTTACATGTGTTTATTGTACACTTTACTTACATGTGTTTGTTGTACACTTTACTTACATGTGTTTGTTGTACACTTTACATGTGTTTGTTGTACACTTAACTTACATGTGTTTGTTGTACACTTTACTTACATGTGTTTGTTGTACATTTTACTCGTGTTTGTTGTACACTTTACTTACACGTGTTTGTTGTAGAAGGTGTCCAGATTGACCCTGGGTCCTTTTTCTGGGTATTCCTCACTCCACACAATCTCCACATTAAAGGCTCGGTAGGATCCATCCTCCCCATACTGAAATACAATAATCAAAGAACTAAATGTACTGAAATAGAACAATCAAAGAACTAAATGTACTGAAATAGAACAATCAAAGTACTAAATGTACTGAAATATGAAAATATATGTGGTAAGGTCCATCCTCCCCATACTGACAAAGAAAAATCAAGGTACTAAATGTACTGAAACATCACATACTGAAAGGGAAAAAATCAAAGTACTTAAAGCCGCTTGGTCCGATTCTAATCGCTAAAGATATATATTCATTTTTCTTCTTGAAAATTAATTGTCCATAAATTGTTTCAACTTTTGTTAAATTATATCCACAAAGTTTTTTTCCTTTGAAAGATATCAAAATCCAAAATGTTAAAAAAATAATCTTTGTTAGGTCACACAAAAAATAATCCTATGTTGATCATTGTTGATATCACGTGAAATCACCTTAGAAAAATTAAATTTATCGCTTACATGTTTATCTCATGAAGAACAAACCCGAGCATTTTTTTCACAACAAAGTATATATATTACCTGTACACGGAACAATATTTTAACTCCTTTAAAAAATCATTTAAAATATCTGATTTTCTTTTATTCTTTAGATATGAATATCAATATAAATATTACCATGGATTATATTCAATTAATTTCTTAATTTTGAAAAGATGTATTATGACTAAGGCTTCTACTAATAGAGAATAAAAAAAATACTCGGGTTTGAATTATCTTCATTAATAGATATATCCTATAAACTTATTTTTTTCAAAAAATTGACTTCACAACAGATCTTAACTTCCGTCAGGAACTACTGTTTGTCAATAAGGTTTTTGATCTGCGTTTTCCATGTAAGGATTTTTGTAATAAACTATTAAATCAATCTTATAATTTATTTTTATATTTTATCTATGTAATGACATACTTTAATTGTGTAAGATAATATGTGCCTGTTTCGGGTTAAGCAGCTTTAAGATACTGAAACTTCAAGATATGCCTGGTTCAATCTGTCTTCCCTATACTGGTGAATAATAAACTAGGTACTTCAAAGACTTCAAAAGAGAAAAATCAAAAGAGACAAATGTTCTGAAACATAAAAATAAGTGTGGTACAATCCATCCTTCCCATTATGACAGAGACAAATCAAAGAACTAAAAGTACTGAATTTTAAAGAATCCACCACCCCCATTAGGACAGAGACAAATCAAGGTACTAAAAGTACTGAAACTTAAATAATACAGTTTATATGTGGTACAATCCATCTTCCCCATTTATGCCATAATGACAGATACAAATCAAAGTTATGAAAGTACTGAAACTTCAAAATATGATCCTCCCATAAGGATAGAGGATAAGCAAAGTACTAAAAGTATTGAAACTTCCAAATCTGTGAGGTATGATCCATCCCTCCCTATACCTACATACAAATTAAATGCACATACACAAAAATTACCTAATAATGATAACATTTTAAATGTCATGCAGAAAATTTCACTTAAAAAACTAAATTTATCAACTACAGAAACCAACCTTGTATTGAAAAGTTGTAGGATTAACTATTTTGAAATTTTCATCGCCCTCATAAATAGAATGGAGAACTTCCAATTCCTCCTACAAGGAAAACATGTCAGATTTCACATCAATTAGATTTGCTTTGTCAATCAATATACATTAAATTTTTTTTTTATTACAACTGAAAACAAACAGTTCTTCCTAAATATTTTTTTTACATTTATATATGACCTTGAACACACTTCCTTGCAGGTTTTCTTAGATATTCCAGTATTGACAGATAGTGTATTCATCTATTATTAAGTTTATTCTCCAATGTCCCATTTAAAATCATGATTCCTTGAGTGAACTGAATGAAGCTTAGACTTTGTTGCACTTTAAAGAATCCTTTTAACAGCATCAGTCTTCAAGTGAAATATTTGATGTCCTTGACATAATGATGAGGTCAGGGTAAAAAAATTGTAAAATAATACCCATTAATTTGACTATTTACTAGCTTAATTGTTTTGCTTTCCTTAATTAAGGCTCAGGGCTATAAAAACAACAACTTGTTGTATAGAAATTTTCATAGTTCAGAAATAAATAAAACTGAAACATGTGACAATGTACCTCTTGTTGTTCTTTACAAGTCATCTTGATGGAGGATTACAGATGTATCTGTATCACCTACCAAAAAAAATTAAAAAGAATGAATTCAACATTCATTTTTGTTATGATAATTTTTATTTAATATTTTCAGTAAAACACTCTTAAAGTAAACATGCTGATAGCCAGCGAAGCGAGTGTTGCGAAGCGACACTCGTAACTGCGAGCTCTAACGACAACGCCTTAGCAAAGAGAAAATTCGGACTGCTGCACATTCATTTGATAGAATTTTTTGACGCAGCAATTTTGACCCACAATGCAATGCTTCGTACACAATGCTAAAGCAACGTTCTCATGAGAATAAGAACATAAAAGTTAAATGAATAATAAACTTGCCCTGCTTTGATGAAAATGTTGCAGAAAATAGTCAATTAAACGGTTCATCATTTAAAATCAGCCCTCTTATGATATTGCAACATGCATACGACGTCATATGACATCAGAGTCTTAGACGCGCCGAATGTCACGTGCGGTTTGACGAGTCCGATCTAAATGAAAACTGGATAAGTACCTGCGTTCACCCTAACGGTCGCACCGTCAACATATTAAGGAATTAACAATTATGTCAATGTGATTTTCATTCCCTATGGCTTTTAAACATATTGGAAAGCTAACAGATTTAAAGAACTACCTTCATAACAAAGCAAAATCCTCCATCCCTGCCACTTTGCTATAAGCATGTTTCACTTTATACATGTACCGTATATACATATTATACATGTATTTATTTTTCCTATGGGTCACTAAATGACAACAAATGCTAATACTCCTAAATTTTCAAAGTTACCAATCAGAAGAACATATTTTGCTGCAAGCTACAGTATGCCAGTTTGAGGGATTATTTGTCAAAAACTTGATGATGGGACACAGACCTCTTCTACACATGGATGTCAAGCAGACCAGACGTGTATGGAACAGCAGCGGAGCCGGGAGTTGGCTGGACCAGGGACCCAGTTTACAAAAGAACTTACTACTAGCAATGACTAAAACCAAATATAATTTTTTTTAAAATTTCTTTCGTTAATATAAAAATATTGTTTAAATCTTATCAGAAGACTTTAAAATGATACATTTATGCAGACAATCTGTAATATAATTTTAAATTTTGCCAGATTTTACAATCATCAAAAATTTTAGTCTTAGTCATACAGGTTGGGACCAATTGCGCAAATGGGATATAATACCCAGTTTGGGATATAATATCCCAAATGGGCTATAAATTTACAAAAAATTTAAAAATTTTATTTTGGCTATAAATATCATAAATCTGCATCAAAACACTGAAAAAGGAATAACTTTTGGTTGACAAGTTTGCCTGTATGCCCATTGTTTAGGAGATTGATAATCATAAGTTCTCTTGAAAATTGGCCTTGGAACTAACAGCAAAATAGACTGTGTATAGTTGTTATAAATAAATAGTTGTAAACACCCCACCCCCAGTTACTTTAATTCTATCATTAAAATGATAAATGTCCTACTGACCTAACCTCTACTGAGACTCGGTCATATTAGTCAGGTTGGGACCAATCGCCCAAATGGGATATAATAGTCAGTTTGGGATATAATATCCCAAATGAGCTATAAATTTACAGTGCAAAAACTGAAAATTTTTATTTTGGCTGTAAATATCATAAATCCACACCAGGAAACTTAAAAAGGAATAACTTTTGGTTGACAAGTTTTCCTGTATGCCCATTGTTTAGGAATTTGATCCCTCAGAAGTTCCGTAACTTCTTGGGGATCATTCTAACAAATGGTAGGGTTGCAGGAAAACTTGCTAACCAAAAGTTATTCCTTTTTAAGTGTTCTGATGAGGATCGATTTATGATAATCATAGCCAATTTTCAATTTTGGCATTGTAAATTTATAGCCCATTTGGGATATTTATATATTCCAAACCGACTATTATATATCCGATTTGGGCGATTAGTCCCAACCTGTTTGTAACTATTAATAAGCCCCTTCACGATAACTGCGGTACTACTCTTTTGCAGGGCAAATTAATAACTTTTGGCGAAGTTTTTTTTGATAGATAATTAAATTACGTATATAAGACAATTACTTTTACTTTTACGTCATATTTCGCCAAAATATAGCATTTTGCCCTGCAAAACAGTAGTACCGCAGTTATCGTGAACAGGTCCAGTCCAAAGACTATTTCTACCTACGTAGGTATTAATAGCTACCTAGGTATTTAAAGCTACCCAAAGTAGCTATTATTACCTACTTTCTGCTTTACTTGCATTTTGTGGCCAAATGCAGGAACGGCGCAACATGGTGAGCACAAACTTTCTTGATAGAGTCACACTGACGATGAATATGACAAAAATTTGGCCAAAAAATGAAAACTTCGAATATTATCAATTTTGCATAGAAACTAATGTAAAATTGCCGATTCAGGAAGTACGGGTAATCATTTTTTGGCCAAAATTTTGTCGTATTCATCATTAGTGTGACCATATAAAAAAATCTGGTATTCACCATGTTGCGCCGTTTGGTCTTTTGGTTGCAAAATGCAGAAATTATATAAAGTAGGTAAAAATAGCTACTTTTGGTAGCTTTAAATACCTAGGTAGCCATTAATAGCTACGTAGGTAGAAAAAGTCTTTGGACTGGACCTGATGAAAGGGTCTATTGGCCTATAGTTTTAGGAAGTTTACCATAGCATGGCCTTACTCCAGCATGCTAGAGGTTCACGGCGAGATACTTTTGACTTGGCGCCGCGTAACCTCTAGCATCCATTGTTAAAATTCTCGCCGCTGAAACCCCAAATGGAAAAAAATTATTTTATTAAGAAATAAGGCTTTGTATATTAACGAATGGTACGAAATAATAAAATACTCAATATTTACGATAAAACTTAAGCATAAAACACTGTTAACCTATCGTATTAGCAATAAATCCATTATTTTTCAAATCGAAGCAGAAATTGAAACAAGTTGTCTGTTTAAAATTCGGAAATGGAATGCAGAAAATTTGACAAAACTAGTAATGCAACGAAAATTTCGTTTTCTGACAAGCAATCCGCAAAATTAATGTGCAGTCTTCACGAAAAAGAAAAATCGCCACAGGACATTTGGACAGACAGTTATCACAATTTCACAGGACCAAACGAATTTTCACCGGTCCAAAACTTTTTTCATATAATGATCACAACAATGTTTTTCAATAGCATATGAATCAGTAAACATGTATTAAGCTTTAAAATTTGTTTTTCCTGTAACATTCCCAAAAAAAATAAGGATCGTTAACCGTTAGGTCAGGAATTCTTTTTTTTTTTTTGCTTATGTATGGCCAAACATCCCTGGACTGAATACCAGGTGTCATATTTCCAGTGGACACCCAACATTGCATCCAAAATGGCTACCTAGCGGCAGAAAACAAACTACACAAAGTTGTAGGGGGAAATTGTTGTTACAATAATGATTACTCTTTATATTTAAGGTAATTTGTAAACTAGATTGACACATTTTATGTCTCAAGTTAGAAAAAAGTTACAAGTTATTTTTTATTTAAATAAATGGAATCGGCTGATTGATTGTCAGAAAAAAATCCAATCGGGAATAATAATTATAAATATAAAAAAATGTTTGTTCCCCATTCAAATTATTATAATTTGAATGGGGAACAAACATTTTTTTTTTTAGTAGGTTTTAAAACAATCACAATCAACAAATACAATAGGTTTTTAAAAGTGTGTTTTGGTATAAGATTAAGCGTCTATATGATGAAATAGAAATATAAAATTTAAATTCAAACCAAAACGAACCTCGGCCAAACGGACCGAATTTACTAGATAATGCATCGGACCAATCAGATTTTCACCTGTTTTGTCCGACGGACCGGTGCTTTTGGGATAGACTGAATGTGAAGACAAAATGAAAGTACTTCTGGTGACAAATTGGAATATTCCAATTTCCATTAATTAACAATAATATTGCCCACTGAATAAAATGGATTTTATTATTTCTTGTGACTTTCATACCTCATGCTAACACGTAGGTACCTGAAAATTACTTGTTTAAATTTTACTTTACGCATAATACGTTCCGCCCAAAATCTCAGGCGGAACGAGCTCGTTAGAAAATGGCCTTCGGATGTAAGAGTCCAAGGGGTATATAAGGAGCGTAGGGACGTTAACCGAGGCTCTTACTTGTAGGAGTAAGCATGGCCTATAACTTTTCTGGTAAATATGCCAAGTATCTAAGACTTGGTTACTTCTTTCAATCAGAAACCCTGTTTGATATCTTGGTCTGTTCTATCTTACAATCTTCCCCATCCTTTTGAATATATTTCCTAAATGTGGGCTAAATCTGATTTGGAGATAAGGCATTGTGCTGGCTAGATAGAATGTTCTATCGTTAAAATTATATTGTCCTACGGACCCGGTTTGGGCTTGTACCGAGACACAGTTAGATTATTCTAACTAAGTGCTGGCTGACAAAAATATATATGTATACATTAATTTGACGATTCCACAAACCTTTCATGTTTCCTATTATCTAGTAGTTAGAATAATCTAACTGTGTCTCGGTACAGGCCCTCACCACAAACCGGGTCCGTAGGACAATATCATTTTAACGATAGAACATTCTATCTAAGTATCTAGCAATACAAACCTAAAATGTTTTCTGCCACTCGTCCCATGCCACATGGGCGCAGACATCTTGAAAGTTGAAGGAGCAAAGTAGGTCCTACCAAGTTAGTAAATCTGAGATTAAATATATCTAAATATATAATGGTGTATATTGTAAAGTATTTTAATGATATATATCTAGGATCATAATTACTGAGTCAGTTATATTTTTTTTCTTTGAGGAACGTTAAGAGAAAAAGCGAATATTCCTTGTACGAATGATTGATAAATTCAACTTCCGATTTGTAGATCGATGCAGCTTCTCTAAGGAATCGGAAAAGATACCATAATTTAGAAGCCATGACGTTAACACTGGGCTTCTAATTTCAGGTTTAAATAATTTTATGTTTGAAGTTCCTTTTATTGACGCATGACGTTTACACCACCT